TGTTTTCCATATTTTGATTTCCAATTTGGATAAATTTCAAACTCTTAATGTTGCCAAAGCATCTTTGGAGATAACTCTTTAGCTATTAATAAATGAATAATTAAGTACTGAACTACAAAAAATCACTTATTTTGTTAATCTGGAGCTGACCTTTTTACATTATATTTCTGAAATATATTCTGAAAAATATATTTTCAGAAGCATCTCCTTCTTTGGTAGGGATGGGACGGGGTGGGTAATGGTATATGAAGTTGGTCTTTCAGTAGTCGTGGGAAGGTTGTAAAATACAGCAGAGGCAGCCTGAGGCAAGTGAAGAGTTCTGTTACCTAAAGCTCTGTTATATTGGACAAGTTTGTTTCTTTATTTTTCTTATTTGTATTTGAAGCATAATAAATGTGTTCCCTCCATTTATCATAAGTATTAGAGTAGATGAAACAATGAATTGGAAAGTTCTTCTTGTACAGTGAAATTTTATACAGCTGTTACCTTATTGCCGAGTCAGCAAATTGCAGTGCCACATGGTGACTTGGCTTTTCCCTGGCGCACTAGCTGCTGACTACCCCACGCACTACTGATGCTCATACCGAGTCACTGCCAGTGTTATCTTGCCATTCTCCACAGCTCTGCTATTTCAGATGTCTGATAGAGCAGTCTTGAAGGGCTTGAATGATTTCTGAATAAAAATTCCAGGATGCTTGGGCACAAGGTCTGAGAGCCATTGTTTCTTGTATACCCAGGATTTCCTGCTAGTGGAGGAAGAGTTCCTGTTGGCTTGTAATAGTTCTCAGCAGCTTCTCTCACTGCTCAAAAGAGAATAGAGTAAACCTTTTAATTTTTGCTAAGATAGTAAGCAGGGGTTCTTTGTTGTGTAAGAGGGTGAAAGGATTGGTCTCTCTCCACATCCAGTCAGTTTAAAATTGAGGCCTCAAGACTCTCTTTCAGCTATAGCATCTGTAAGACCTCTTTATCTTTCAACCCTGTGTTTAATATTTTTGTAGAATTACCTTATTTGTGCCTCTTCCTGTAGGCGAATCATAAGTTGGGGTAAACATTTACAAGTTCAGCAGTGGCAGACAGTGCTCAGTCCCTCAGTGGTGTTCAACTCTTTGTGGCCCCGTGGACTATATCCTGCCATGCTCCTCTGTCCATGGAATTTTCCAGACAAGAGTACTGAAGTATGTTGCCATTTCCTTCTCCAGGGGAGTCTTCTCAACCCAGGAATCGAACCTGTATCTCTTATGTCTCCTGTATTGGCAGGTGGATTCTTTACAACTGGGCCACCTGGGCAGCCTGAAATATGATTATAGAGTGGGAAATCATGATTTTTGGTTATACCCAGATGGTTTTTGTTTTCAGCTAAAATTGTGGAGTAGAGTAGCTATTGTTAACATCTACTAATTTATCTCAACTAAAAAATGATGATGCTTTGTTTTGTGAATTGTACCTGTGAGATCTCACAAGAAACTTGTTCAGTGGAATTTGAATTATTAATTCATTGTTCTTTTAATATATGTGTGTGTGTGTGTGAAAGTTGCTCAGTCATGTCCGACTCTTTGCAATCCCATGAACCATACAGTTCATGGTGTGTGTGTGTGTATTATATATATATATATATGTATATATATATTTGGGGATATGGTTTTTGACTTGAATGATCTAGAGAAAAGTCAAACTGTTTGAAATCACTTTTTTATTTCCTTTGGGACAATTGGATTACAAGAAAATATATGCAACACTTTGGATTTTAAGTACGAGTACAATAATACTAGTAAGGATAGGTTTATTTTATAAATTAAGAAGAAAACTTATAGTAAGGTTTGTGCTTAGAAGTTGTGGTTAAGATGTGTCGTTGTTCAGTCACCAAGTTGTAGCCGGCTCTTTGCGACCCTATAGACTGCAGCATGCTAGACTTCCCTGTCCTACACTGCCTCCCAGAGTTTGCTCAAATTCATGTCCATTGAATCAGTGATGCTGTCTAACTCTCTCATCCTCTGCCACCTTCTCCTTTTGCCTTCCATCTTTTCCATCATCAGGGTCTTTTCCAATGAGTTGGCTCTTATATCAGGTGGCCAAAGTATTGGAGTTTCAGCTTCAGCATCAGTCCTTCAGTAAATATTCAGGACTGATTTCCTTTAGGATTGACTGGTTTGATCTTGCTGTCCAGGGGACTCTCAAAAATCTTTTCCAGCACTCCAATTCAAAAGCATCAATTCTTCGGCACTGAGCCTTCTTTATGGTCCAACTTTTCACATCCATACGTGACTACTGGAAAAACCATAGCTTTGACTAGACAGACCTTTGTCAGCAAAGTGATATCTTTGCCTTTTAATACCTGTCTAGGTTTCTCATAGCTTTTCTTTCAAGGAGCAAGCGTCTTTTAATTTCATGGCTATAGTCACCATCTGCAGTGATGTTGGAGCCTAAGAAAATAAAGTCTGTCACTGTTTCCATTTTTTCCCCATCTATTTGCCATGAAGTGATGGGACCAGATGCCATGATCTTAGTTTTTTGAATGTTGAGTTTTAAGCCAGTTTTCTCACTCTCATCTTTCACCCTCATCAATAGATTCTTCAGTTCCTCTTCACTTTCTGCCATTAGAATTGTATCATTTGCATATCTGAGATTATTGATATTTCTCCTGGCAGCCTTGATTACATCTTGTGATTCATCCAGCCCAGGGTTTTGCATGACATTCTCTGTATATAAGTTAAAAAAGCAGGGTGACAATATGTAGCCTTGTTGTACTCCTTTCCCAGTTTTCAACTAGTCCCTTGTTCCGTGTCTGGTTCTAACTGTTGTTTCTTGACCTACATATAGGTTGCTTAACATGATCAAAAATGAGTTATATGGAATATTTTGGGGGAGTGAGGCATGATCATTTAGAACTCTGATTAGATTTAATTAAGTTTTTAGTGTATATGTTTAAGATCTATTTTACTAGATAACTAGAGGTGTAAGGAAACTTATGTATATTGTCGGCTTGTGCTGAAGTTTATGTACATTTAAAACATATGTAAAACTGTTGGAAATAAAGTGATGGTATTGACAATATTTGATTTATTCTTTCTACAGGTAGTATTGGATTTGTTCTAACTAAATCACATCTGTTCGGGTGTTTCACCTTAAAACTAAAGACATATGTGTTTCAGATAGCTGGCTGTGATACAATATAGACTGCCTATAATCCACCTAGCTGTTGTATGTAGGAATCATTCATTGTTTTTGTGTCTGTCATGAAGGCTGCCTTACACGCAAGAGAGTTAATCAGTTACAGATACTGCTTTTTGGCTTTTGTATATATTAACTCTGTGAGCTTAAATGGCTATAAATATTGTTTACAATATGCCACTAACATTTGGATATTCATTTTTCTGGCAGTCTTAGATTGAGTAGGGGGAAGTCAGATTATTACATCTGATGTTATCTGAATTGTATCAGATTTATATCTGATTATATATATATTCAGATTATATCTTATATATTATATCTGATATATATATTCAGATTATATCTTAATTAGATCTGATCTAAAATCTGATTGGAAAATCAGATTATTTTACATGTATATATTTTAATGTGAGAGACGAAAACATATTTCATCATCTTGTTTTGGTATTTAGGTTTAAATATTGCATTATTTTTCTTTTATGAGGTTAGTATGAATTCAACTAACATCTTAAAATTGCTATAATGGAAGAGTAGGAGAGAGAAAAAGAAATGTGCGGTTTTGTCAGTGAGAACTGGTTTTAGATTCGTCACTCCAAATCTTTGTTGTGATGAGACAAAAACCGAGGAGCATACACTTGCATACCTCGCCTGACAGATTGTCAGCAAAGAGAGAAGAAGCACAAGTCATAATTGCTGCTTTGCAAAGATTGTAGTCCCTAGAATCTGTGTGTGTTCTGAAATCATTAAAAACAATTTAAAGCTTTTAAAAATCAAGTGCTTGGTAGTATAGAAGGTTTGGAATAGTTTAAGAATTCAGAGAGTAAGGTGACTGTTTAGTCAAGAAGGAGGTGGCTCTTGAACTTGGAAAGAATCTTTGGATTGTTACTGGCGGGAAATGAAGGCAGAAGAGATAGGGAGATGGCCATGAGTGGGCAGAGACCCCAGTGCTGGTGAGCTAGTTATGAATGAGGCTCAGTTCGGAATGGGTTTGATTTTTCGTATTAGGTTTGTGTCTCTTACCTGCAGATTAACATACCCCTGTTTCTTTTCCCCATCTGACTTTTCTTGGAAATGTATCACTATTTTCTTAAGAAGAAATAAGACGTGGAGAAGCAAAAACTTAAAGCTTTACCTTCCTAAAGGGAGAGTGGTCTGAATAGAGATAGAATTAGATGTTTTCAGTTGCACACGTCTTATTTTCAAGTACAAGAAGAAAGCCTGAGGAAAGAATTACGGCCTTTAGAGTTGGACAGATAAGGATTCTTTGGTGGGTCCATCATTTGCCTTTTGACTGGACAAATTTACCATTTTTCTTATTATGTTTATATAGGAAGAGTGCTATCTACTTTATGGGATTGTTTTTATTAAATGAAGTCATGTATATAAGCTAAGCATGGTGCCTGCTCTATACAGTGAATAAATGGTGGTTAAACTAATTACTTATAATTGAAGCAAATAATTGAAATAATTCTGTGATGATAGATATGATAAACTAAGATAAGCATTTAAAAATAATATATAGTATAGAATATTTGGGCTTCCCAGGTGGCCCTAGTGGTAAAGAACCCACCTGCCAATGCAGGAGACATGAGATGTGGGTTTGATCCCTGGGTTGAGAAGATTCCCTGGAGAAGGGCATGGCAACCCACTCCAGTATTCTCACCTGGAGAACCCCGTGGGCAGAGGAGCCTGGTGGGCCACAGTCCATGGGTCACAGAGAGTCAGGCACAACTGAAGGGACTTAAAATGCATGTGGTTTACTTGGTATGCTTTGGTGGTTTTCTTGGTTGAATTCTTTGCATTTCTCATTTTCTATTCATTTTTTCTTTTAGGAGACAAAGATGGCAGCAAGGTGACCACAGTGGTGGCAACTCCTGGGCAGGGTCCAGACAGGCCGCAAGAAGTCAGCTATACAGACACTAAAGTGATTGGAAATGGGTCATTTGGTGTGGTGTATCAAGCCAAACTTTGTGATTCAGGAGAACTGGTTGCCATCAAGAAAGTATTGCAGGACAAGAGATTTAAGGTAAGACCTTCAGTAGTTCATGTGTTTTTTGTTGCTGTCAATACATGTAAATAATTACTTTTTCAAGTGTTGCTTTTGTTTCAGATTTCATTTATTGAACAAGTTTTGTTCAGCTCAACTACTATAGTGACTTTTCCATTGTGTATTATGTTGAGATAAAATTTACTGAAGATTGCAGTATTTTTTTGAACTGTAGCTATGAGTGATATATGTATTTAAAATGTTGTGAAAGATAGATTAAAATTTATTAATTCCTTATTTTAAAATGTGACCTCTCTCTGCCTTGGGTCTCATTGGTGTAGGAGACCAGAGAAACATTGCTTGTAGCATATGTTCATTTGATACAGTTGACTGTGCTTCCTTTCTTGAAAAATTTCTTTCTAGTCTATGATACAACACTGTTGTTTTTTTCCCCCATAACTGACATTTCTTTCCTGCTATATATTCTTATGTCTCCCTTCCATCTGCCCTACAAAACGATACTTCCCACAGTTCATTTTTTTTTTCTTACAAGATCCCCTTAGAGTGTCCTGTGTATGGATGATCAGAGGTCGTCTCTTCATTATGATACAGTGGAGAGTCAGGAGACCTGGACTCATCGAGGCTCTGCCATTAACAAGCCATGCAGCTCTGTTCCCTTCCCTACTCTGCCCACCTCTGAAGCATTTTAATGAGAGTCTCCTGTGTTCTAGGAACTGTGCTTAACATTAAAGGATGAAAAATTAAGAGGTTATCACTGCTCTGAAATAGCACACATTCTGCTGCCTGTATGCTACAGAATGTTTTGAACATTCTAAAGAGGTTTTAAAAAAACAATCTAAAGTTTTTGTCTTCAGTTTATTCTCTCCTGAACACTAGTCCCATGTTGCCAAATGCCCACTCAGTCTTGATATCTGAAGGTACCGTTATTTTCAAATTGACAAATCTTCTTATCTAACTCTGACTTAACTGCCAGTCTTGAAGGAAATCCTTTCTATTGGTTCTCATTCCTTCTTGTTCTTTCCTTCTAATTCTTTTCTCATTCAGTGTCATCGATACTGTTCCGTTCTCTCATACCTCATATCCAATCATTACCAAACTTGGTTAATTTCACACTGCCTGCCCTGCCCGCCCCCTTTCCTTTTCTCATCACTACTGTTCTAGCCATTTGGCTTTTATCACTAGTAACTCTACATCTGATCTTCTCACTTAAAATCTTACATTCCAACTTTAGATTAATCCCATAGCTCATTCTGGTCATATTGTTTCTACTACACACACGTCTTCTATGGTCCCTCATAGTCTAGAAATAAAGCCTGCCGTTTTAATTGTGCATTCAGGAGCTTCCATAGTCTTGCCTTCTTTCCAAATACTTAATTTTTACAATCCTTTGTATCACTATATTTGAGACATATTGGTTTTTATGGTCTCTCTGACTTTATTTCATAAGAACTGGATTTTTATTACGTGTGTCTCCTGATAGTCACACACTTAAATGTGTTTTCAAATTAATATCCTTCCCAGGTGGTGCTAGTGGTAAAGACCCCGCCTGCCAGTGCAGGAGACGTTAAGAGATGAGGGTTCAATCCCTGGATTGGGAAGATCCTCTGAAGGAGGGCATAGCAACCCACTCCAGTATTCTTGCCTAGAGAATCCCATGGGCAGAGGAGCCTGACAGGCTACAGTCCATAGGGTCACAAAAAGTTGGAGACAATGGAAGCAAATTAGCATGCGTGTATGATAGCAAATATTTATCAAGTCCTTAAAATATGATCAGTAATCTATGAAGTTTTTACATGAGCAGCTTTATAGGAGATTTCCTCTTAGTACTGTGATATTGATATTGTTATTATTTAGATAAGGAAACCTACACACAAAGAGATTATAAATTAACTTGTCCAAAGTCATACAGTTAGCAAGTGGTTAGATGAGCAGGTATTTGAATCCAAGCAGTCTGACTTCAGAGTGCTTTATTACAGTCTATCATTGCTGTATCGAACCAGTACATTCTGTTCAGTAGGTACTTGGGTGAGTTCTTTTTCTTGCTTTTTAAAAAGTTTTAATCTTTTCCTTTATCGTAGTTAAGTTATTCATCTGAAATACAGTTGGGTTCATCTGTTTTTGCTTGTATCCCTTCGTAGAGCTGTTATCTCCATTCTTTTTGACTTTTTGAAAAAATTATTTACATTTTCAGTCTGTGTAATGTGGTTCTAAAAGTCAGAGATAACAGATGTCGTTTCCTCTGTCTTGTTCTCCCTCACTCCCTCTGGACAGCCAATCTCTCTTTATGTCCTGGTTTACTTTTTCTGGGTTTCTTTTGCTCAAATGAACAGTCAATGTGTAATCATCCCTTGTTATCCACCGGGGACTGGTTCCAGGACCCATAGTGGATGCCAAAATTTGCAGGTGCTCAAGTCCCATGTATAAAATGGCATGGTATTTCCATATAACTAAGTCTCCCATATACTTTATGATATAAGCTACTTTAAATAGCTTATAATACCTAATACAGTGTTGATGCTATGTGAATAGTTGTAAATACAATTTAAATGCTATGTAAATAGTTGCTGATGTGGCAATCTGAAGTTTTGATGTTTGCAACTTTCTGGAGCTTTTCTCCCCTGAGTATTTTTTATCCCAGCTTGGTTGCATCCCTGGCTGTGGAACCCAGGGACACAGAGGGTAACTGTAATTTTCTTGATTTCTTTCTTACACAAAATATAATACAGAGAGTTATTCTTTATATTTTGCTTTTCCTGTTAACTATCATTCCTGAAAGTCATTGCATATCAGATCAGACATTTTTCTCATCTTTTTTAGAATTTTATGGTATTTCAGCATTGATTCCAATCACTCTTCTGTATATGGATATTGAACTACTTTTCAATATCTAGTAATGTCCCAGGGGGCTGTTATGAAAATATTTGTGCATAAGTATTTTTTATTAAATGTGTATATTCATGGTAAACTTAAGAGAACTAGGTAGGACTGCTGAATCAAAACAGAAACACATGAAGTTTTGTATGATGTTGCTAAATTCCTCTGCACAAGAGCTTGTATAGATTTGTATTCTTTCCAGTAATATGTGATGCCTATTTAATCACATTGATACATGAATTGGTTTACTTTTTCAATTTTTGTCAACCTGGTAGGTGAGAAATAATATATTTTTTTCATGTGTTCAGTGTCCATTTTTTTATCATATCTAGATTTTAGTTGTGATTAGAAAGCCTTTTCCTTATAAAGTCTTACAGAGAAAGCCTTTTCCTCAAGTTAAAGAGAAATTCATCTATATTTTCTTGCAGCTGTAAGATTTCCCTTTTTACATTTAGACCGCTGATCCATTTGAAGTTTATTCCTGTGTGTGGAGTTTATTTATAACTATGTATAGTATGATTTATTGATCTAATTTTATCTGTTCTAAAGCATTAATCTTTTGTCTTAATACAGTTTTTTAAATAGTCTATGTTCCAATGATTTGAGATGCTATTGTTATTATATGCTAAATTTCCACATGTAATTTGGTCTATTTCTGGACTTTATGTTCTGTTCTGCTGGGTCATTTGCATATTCGTAAGTCAGTACCACATTGTTCTAATTTCATTTTGTAATATGTTTCAGTGTCTGGTAGGGCTAGTCTGCTTTTGTAGCTTTTCTTTTTCATGTTATTCCAGCTATGTTTGGATGTATATTTTCCCCTATGAATTTTGGTATCATTTTGACTAACTCCTTGAGAAAGCTTGTTTATTTTTAATTGGAATTTCATCAACTTTATAGATTAAGGAGTTAATCGCCTCTCCCATGATGTTGAATTACCTTATCCAGAAATAGTAGATAGCTTTCCATTTGTTCAAGTTTACTTTTGTAAACTTCCAGGAGTTTTACTTATATAAGTTTTGACATTTCTTGTTAAGCTTATTCTTAAATATTTTAATTGTTTTGTAGCTATTATATAATTTTGTTTTTATTTTTATTTTTTCTCCTATAAGTGCTGAAAAGTGGCAGGCTGTCTTACATGAAGTTCAGTTCTTTCCAGTGTATCACCTTTTCTTTGTGAAACTTAAGTATTCTTTGTTCTCCTTGCTAAATGTTAGCTATTAAAAAAATTTTGATGTATTGACCAATTCATTTCCTTTGATTGTGATAAAATAGGCATTTTTCTGACAACTTAAAATTCTATTCACATTTGTAATTTTTACATCACTGCTACCAAGGATTAAATAATCATGTATTTTGCATTAAATAATGATATATTTTTTAGGAGAAGTTAGAATAGGGTCTTCTCCTTGCACTTTTTTCGTAAACCAACATGCTGAACCTACTGGTGTCAGTGAGAGGCAGTTTGTTTTGGTGAAAAAACAAGAGAAAGAATGATCAGAGATAGGAAGAATTCCAAGAGTAACTAATTATCCCTGTACATTAGTCTTAAAAACTATATATATATATTTTCAAGTGTTTCTGGTACAACAAGTTTCAGTGGTGTTTTACCTACAATTTTAATGCCTTTTTCCCTCTGGACCCATCATACTAAAATTGAACTAACCTCAATTGGCCAGTTTGGAAGTGCTCATGATAGAAAATGCTGTTGTGCTGCTAACAGTAAAGTCCAGCTAGGTACCTTATGTAGGATACCTTTGATATTAGAGCAGGAAGAAGATTAATCAATCCCAATACTGATCGTTGTTGAGGCTGGCTTTTCCAAGTTGAAAATCAGTAAGCTACTTTCTAAATTAATTAGCGATCTTAGCTTCATTAACTATTAATTTCAGTTCTCCTTTGAACTAAGTCATAGGTTTCAGGTGTCCTGCTTGGTTTCACTTGTTCTGTCGCTAGGATGTGGGAGTAGAGAAGTGAAGTGTCACTCCTGTTATGTTGTGACTGGAGAGTAATTTGAGCCCTGCTTTTAATATATTCTATTTTGGAGAGTGAGAAGAAATAAATGTCTGGGCTCAATCCTTAGGGCTATGATTATTCTCTGTATGATATTTTGGAGACAACATAGGGGAAATAAGACCTTGGTC